GCAACCTTTGATACGGAAGCGAAGTCGTACCAATGCTCGCCTTCGAGTCAGCTTAAGGTGGTCAAAGTCATGTGAGCAAGCGCAGATCAGGGTACAAGCCATCACCATGGTGGGCGGGTCAACGCGCCCCCATTCCTAGCATTCTGGGGATATCTCCCAGCATACCGTGTAACCGCGCCCAGAATATTCAGTGGTACATGAAAAAATTGTTGCGCAGCTTGTAACGCCAAAACATGTCCGTAGCCTTTTTGGCGGGCAATGACTGAAGAATCCCTCGATCGCGCGCGGCGGACCGACGTTGCCGCATTAAGCCGCACATTACAGGTATGGTTTTGTACACTTTGGCATGTGGAGTTGAAATAGTGCGATGTTCAGGAAAAATTAACAAGCGACCTGGCATCATAGGGTCAACCAGCAACATACCACTTATTAACAATCGCGAGATCACGTTGACACTAATCCACTGGTTCTTTTCTGCGAAGCTCTATCGACCTAATTTGGAAACGGCGGTGGGACGCATCGACCTCGCCCCTATTAGTTCGCATCTTGAAAAAGAACCAGCCGTGGTGAGGGTTAAAAAGCTGTGTAGAAAGAGGAATCCTGATTCCAAAAAGCGGCTTCTCTGACGGCGGGCTTTCCCCCTTTGGAGAGTCATACAGGGTTGCCGAAGAGGCACCGAAATTGTCCCGGGGAAAATGGCTTTTAAACAATATCCTACTGTCTCTTGCAAAAATATATTTTCAACGGGCATCAACTTGCTCGACCGTAAGCCATTAGCCCGTAAATGTCCCGGGAAGACGCCATTTGAAATAAGCCCCCACCCCCTTCCAATATAGAGGAATAAATCTTCTTAACCGCGCCATACGGGTTCATCATACTTGACGCCTGAAGAATTTAAAACTTTCTGGAGAAAAAAAAATGTTAGATTCGGTCACTCAGGTGCGACCGATGGCGCAGGCAGAAGGGAGAGTACAGGAGGCTCATGCTCCTCTCTCCTTAGGCTCCGAGGGGTTCGGAGAGTCCTTTGGTACCGACGATTAAGGGCCCGATTTGAGGTCCCGAAGGACCCGAAGGGCTGGTCGGAGGCTTTATTTGGGTACAAGCTCCGCGGGCTGGTAAACAAATGCCAGTTCTTAGTTAGGTATGCACTGTATGGTAGTGATGACGGCCGATTGCCCCTTGTTTAATCCCCTAAATGTTGGTGACCTGTAAAAACTGTGTCGATGGTTAAAAAAACAACAACAAATACTGGGTGAGACAATCGGCAGGCAATTTTGAAATCACTTCTGCTATTCGAATCGATAAAGGCACGTTGCCGAAATATCAACGCATCTATATTTTCATTCTACTGTTTTTCTGCAAGGAATAAGCCTGATTCGATGCACGCGTGTTGCCGAAATATGAACGCACCTATATCTCCATTATCCTCGTTTTCCTGCGAGGAATATGGTAATGCCCATATGCCCATATTCCCATATGCCCATATGCTCATAACCACCGTCCTATATATACGCATAATGTTCCCCGCAAATGCATTAAACAACCTACCATCTGCTACTCATGCGCTTCATAAAAAGCTCCGTTTTGACAACTTTTCTGAGCACCATGTTTTGCATCTCCCGAATACACTGATTGACTTTTAGATCCTTAAATGTTGCCATAGCACATAACGTGCAAACAGTTATCCGAAGATCGCTGTAGATCGCTCCAAAAGCGTTGCCAAATTTTAAACCAAATTCCGTATGTTTTTTTTCTTCAAAATCGCGCCATCAGTTTCCAAATATCGGGAGAGAGAGTGGGTGAAAATCACACCCCTCGCTCAGAATAGGGTACGGCCCAGTATCAGCCTGTATAATGTCAAGACCCCGCTATGGTTGGTTCGCCCACGCACTGCACATAAATGACCTCAATATATCTAAGGATATTCCGTAGATCATGCGACCAACCGCCGCTCTCTTGATTGTATAATCGGCACGCGTCTCATCATTGGGCAATAAAAGCTCCTCGAACCCCATCAGCGTGATGAATGCTGGCACTAACGTCGGTTATGGAGTAATAACGGCGCAGTATGAGTCCGAGCTGCAGCTCTATACACTTCTGAGGAGTGTCAACTACAGCCAACGACGATGTCTTCAGCAGTTTGCTGCAGGCGTGGAAACCCAGCAAAACCTAAGTGACTTGCTGCAACTGCTCAGTTTAGCGCACCTGACGCAGTTGATATCAGACCAGCTGGCGCGAAAATCAAGAATCCAAAATTATCAGAGCGTCACGCCTAAAGTTGGGCTTACTGCAAATGGTGAATTGTGCCAGCACAGTGCGGCTCAGAAATTTGCCTGGATCAGATATTTCCGCACGGCAGTCAATCAAAGTCTGACTTATGTGCTTCAATTACAAGTATTGAAGACGCTTTGCAGTAGACATGACCTCGTCCACCGTAGCAATCACTGCACCCCAACAACCCCCAACGCGCTGCCTGCCCCGCCGGCGGCCGGAGCCGTCAGCGGGCACGACCGTTCGTTCGGATATCGCGGCAACAGTGGGGTCACTTTGGGGCCCGGCCCGCCCTTGTCGGGCCAAGGAGCGCGCTACTGGTGGAATGTCACGTCAATCCGCCAGAAAATGGCGCGAGCGCCCGAGGGGGAGAAGAAAGAGACAACAGAAAAATAGATCAAGAGAAGAAAGAGGATTAGAGATGAAGGTAAGAGAGAAGGTTAAGAGAGGCAGAGAGGGAGAAAAGAGGGAAAGAAAGAGGGGAGATGGAGTAAGAGGTGGCTAGACACCTAATGCCTTCAAAGGAAAAATGGCGATAAGCGCAGAAGTTTTCCTGGTCAAACGCATCACGCTGGGGACACAAAAAGGAGATCAACATAGAAATAACTCCGACACCAAACACCACTTGCCCTTTTGGGTGTCTTTAAACATGAATTTACAATAAAGTGGAAACGTCCTGGGTGTGAGCATTGTTAACAGAGGCAGATTATTGCTTAACGCGCAAACGTTTTCATTTAGTCGCAACCCATTCATGCCCAAGCACAGAAAAAAGTGCGATTCAGTAAGAATGATAGTATATCCTAGGTCAGTCTAACCGCGTGATGATGGAAATGAAATGATTTTTATAGCTGTCTCAGCAGCTTCGAAAAATCGATAATCTTATTCATGCCACGGTCACTGAGTCCGCTTCATTCTGATACAGATTCATGCATAGTATCATGCATGGTATTCTGGGCATGACATGGTACAACATTTTTACATTTTCTTCTTTTTCACGTTGTTCATCTTTGCCAAAACTTATTTTGATGGTTACCACATTTTTGTTTCGATGAATGCGTGCTAAATAATTAAAAATTCATGCTCTCATTCATTGCTTGCTCCTCGACCATGACTGGTGCCTTTAAGCTGCATCCAAGGTCATTATCACCGCGTTATTTTCTTTTAATGGCTAGCTCGAAAATACGGTACTTACTGGAAAATAATTACATGATGCAGCATGGCTTCCATTCATGACATTGTGACCAAAACCGAATTATGACCGGACACAATCAGTTGTTTGAGTGCACGGGCATTTTACCGAGCCACGCGTTCTGAATGAGACACCCTCTGCCGCCTATTTCGTGGCTACAGGCTCACATAGCGGCCATGTGATGATTGGTGGTGTTGGTATCTTTTTAGTGGCGTTGACTGCGTAGACTCAGAGCATATTTTGGACTTCCTCAGAGGATGCTTTTGGAATTTACCACGCAAAAGTGTTTATTTTTGCCACCGATCATGTCCAGCAAATCGGAGGTGTTTTTGCCCTTGCAGATTTGAACCAAGAACCCGTATGTTAAGTTTAAGAAAAATCAGTGAGAACCATGAGCCAAGGCCAGGTGTTTGCAAAATAGCCAATGCAATATAGGGGTTAGTGTTTATGAAAGAACCAACCGAAACCAAGGCTTTAGGGTTTCATTTTGATGCGGGAAAGTGGGAACCAGGAACCAGCATTGAGAGGCAGGTACTTGTCTGCTGGTCACGTACCTGTAAGGGCAAATCCAAACGCAAATTAAATGACGACGTCAAACGCAGCATTTTAGCTGCCAAGTGAGCGAAATTTAGGCAATTATGAAGTGAAATGGACTCTGCACCAGGATCACTTACTTCCCATATAGGCCAGGCAGTTTATCAGAATGTTAAGCAGGGTTATCATTGATTAAAGCTGTTTATATGATTGAACGTTTCCTGCCCGTGGGTGACGATTCTGCTGATTATTCTGCTTACTATCTCTTCACGGTCATACCTTGTGAGTATGTGCTGATCTGCGCTGGCACCCGAGTGTGTCATCCGAAAATCATCGACTGTCAAGTGATCGCACACGTGCCATTAGTAGGATGCGGGGATTTCTTGATAAATTGTGCTATCGGTTTGGGTAGTCGCTTCCAGTCAGAATGGCCATATTCTGGCAGGTCACCGGCGGTTTTTTTACTACTGGCAGATGTTGGAACAATCACACAGCCTAATCTTGCCTAATCTAACCTAACCTAACATTACTTGCAAGGTCAGCACCACCAATTTTTGATACGGGGGGCGAGGACAAGGTCCCAAAACCATCGCGTTACTTGAATACAAAGTGGCTAAGAAATCCTGCGTTTAACAGCTGGCATTCTTGTAAATGATTATCGTTATGCAAACTCCTCATGTGCCCTGAGCTGCACCACCGTAGGACATGGGGGCGCAGGAACCGGAGATGAGGGCAGGGGCTGAGACCCAAACTTTTTGAAAATCTAGTATCGGCCCTGTAAGTGTTGACGGAGAAGATGTAATCCACATGGCTATCATCTCCCTTCCCTTCCAGCGTCACAGGACGTCTTCCCTCCCCCCCCCCCCCCCACACCGGGGGCAAAATCTAACAACAGTCTTGTAGCTTCTTCTCGGCACAGTGCGCGCTATCATTTAGACCCATTGGTCACGTGATGCATTGGTGTACAAACTTGCGTATGTAGAGTGTCAAAAGCCTGGCAGGGCGACATTTTATGTATATTCACCACGCAGTTATGCTATCAATTGCACACCTGCCATTAGCAGGGAGTGAGTATTTCTTCATAACTGTGTTATCGTTTTAGGTCTTAGCTTCCAATATAAATGAATTTATTCAAGCAAGCCACTACCGCTTTTTTCAACCATCGACAGGTGTCGGAGCAATCACACAACGTGTCAAAGCAGACTGCATCAATCAGAGTGCATCGAACTACTAAAGCTGTAGACAAGGGCCTCAAAACACGGCCGAGGACGCCGCTAGATGATGTAGTACACCAGGAGGCCAGCTGTCGTGCGACAGGGCGCCGCCCGGACGTCAGTAGCAGCCGGTGACGGAAGACCAGTCGCAGGCCACGATGGCCTGTGACCAGCTGGTGCCGGGCGCGCACGTGAAGTGGTACGCTGTGCCCATCCAGCAGTTGTAGTAGCTGTGACAGTCGGCCGGGTCGGCGAAGTGCCCAGTGGGTGAGGGGCACGTGACTGAAATAAGACCGCGGGGGAGGGAGAGTGTCATAATCAGACATTGACAGCGGTCAGCGGCAGTTATCACCTACGTTCCATGCTATCGCCCGCTCAGTGAAACACCCTTGCAGACCTTATTAAGCGCCTCCATTGCGTAGTGCCTGTTTTATGATTCACTTTGAGCAACAGGTCTGCACAGGCTGAACCTTGAAATTTAATTTACTTCGCCTAAGTCTTCCCTGCAAATGGGCCTCAGAAGCCTCCTAAGGTTTTCCAGAATGATCTCAAAGTTGTTGCGACCCCGTGCTGGCATTTTTGGCACCGTAGTTTACATACTTCCCACACACGTAACAAATTTGAAGTTTCTGATCTCGATGGTTCATGATCTGTGACCTCCTCGAGGTCATGTTAGTGCCCTTTTTCTCAAAGGCGACAAATGACGCTTCTTTCTCTCAGAAAATGCACTTTAAATGTTACTAGACCCCTCTTCCTGTCTTATCTCACTGAAGCGCATTATTATCGGTCTGGTGGCATTGTAACGCTCACATTATCTAGGTCAACTAGTCAGCTTAATCTTTGTTGTCCGATTTCAACGTTTGGTTGTCATGCAATTTTAATGTTAATAGCACATGTCTTGCAGCTTTGGGAGGTCTTCTAGCCCTGATTTAAGACCATTAGTTGGGCTTGTCTGGTTCTTGATATAGTTGTACGGGTCAATACAACAGTCGCGTTCACAACTTTGACCTGGCATGATATATCACAGATCACATGAGTCCCCATCCACTGGCGACTATAAGGCGGAGCTCAAGCATAAGAACTCTGAACTCATAATGCGTAAGCAAATGGAACCTGCACGTATAAACATTAGCTTCATATGATTCTCTCACCTGACTATTTTAATCATGAAAGGCATAACTGCAAGAAACATGTCTTACATCCGTGCCATAGGATATGAAAGCGATATTTCGCTAACGAGCTCAGACCTTATGTACATCGCATTGGACGCTTATTGCACCGATTTCCAGCATCCGACTGGGAACTCACAGGGCCCGGAGGGTGCGGAGGTGGTCGTGGAGGCAGCGGTGCTGGCCGTGCCGCTGGTGCTGGCAGCAGTCGATCCTCCAGGCGACGTCGAGCAGCTGTGGAACGCGCATACACATCGCGGTGACTGACAGATGCTGCGTGTTGGAATGGCCGGCAGCAGAGACGGGACAGTATTGGCCAACCAGTGCTGAGTCGGTGCTGGAGGCAGACTCAGACTTGGAGCCTCCACAGGTAGCGGAAAATGCTGGCCTGCGATGAACAGGCTGGCAGCAGGCACCAGCGCCAGAACCAGCCGAGCCTTTCCGGCCCTGGGCTGGTGACATTTCATTCAAGTTGGTGCCGAAGTGGTAAGCGTTCCAGCTTGTCAAAAGCTTGAACATATTGCACTTTAACTTCTAATTTGCAACGCATCACGGCGCGATGGACGGCGCGGAAGCCATTTCTTACTACTGGGCGACGGTGCTAATGATGAAGACGGAAGCTGGCGTCCATCACAGAGCCAGATCAACCGATCAACAAATGCAGTGCTGTCAGGCGCATCATAAGAGGAATATGAGTCGCTATTTTACATGTGCTGACCGTCTTGTTAAGGTTCGTTCACTCGAACACAGGCTGCCTCACCTGACCAGGTTGGCCCAGTTGCAGTTGCTCATGGCCGGGTCGAACAGAGTGCCGGAAGGACAGGTGGTATGGTGCGGGACGCCCCATCCACAGTTGTAATAGCTCTGACAGTCCAATGGGTCAGCAAATAAGCCATTCGGCTGAGGACACGTAACTGGAACGAATCATCAGGAATGGCCGTAAACTCCATGATCATCTGCAAAAGTGCTGATAAAAAACACCAAGTACCATCAGCTCCACAACTGTAGTCATTCATGTTGGTTGATGGTGTAGACATGCTAACAGCTTTAAGTACATGCGGTCTTGCCGATTTCAAGTGCGCGGTACAGCGGGATTAACCCTGAAATCAGTGGTGTGTTGTTGATACGTGAGATCCTGTGTCAATGTCATGCACACTGAAACAGCAGCTTAAATTTAGTGTTTCAGTTCTCAAGGCATGCAAAGGCTTGGCTGCTTTTCTGGAACAGCGCACACCTAATAATTGACCATGAGGTTAGCTCTCGTGCTTAAATGACCTCAAAACTGCTACCAAAAGTCTTCTTCGGGGAATCCACTAAGTAGAGACATGCTTTGATCAGGAACTTCGAGAGTGCATATCAGAAGACCTCATAGAGGCCAAGATGCATGCTAAGAGGCTGGCCTACAATGAGGCGCAGGGTAGGTTTGGGTCTAACTGATTTTTTTACATGCTCCGGGAGCAGAAGTGGCAGTTGTTCCCGCGGTGCTGGTGGCAGCGGTTGTTCCAGCAGAGGTAGCAGGAGTGGTTCCAGCTGTGGTGGCGGCGGTGGTTCCAGCCGAGGTGGCGGCGGTGGTCCCAGCCGTGGTGGCGGCGGTGGTTCCAGTGGAGCCAAGATTGGCCTGGATTGCAGACATGAGGGGCCATGCGCCACCTCCGCAAACGTTCCTGCAAATGTGATTTACTTGTTAAGAGCGCTGCAGAAAGCGACTTCTCACAACACGTATATTTTCAGCCGGGTGGTATGCTTGATGTGAGCGATACGTAACACGAATACGATACGTAAGTTGTGAACGACGTTTCACATCCAGTGGACATAGACATGCAAGCTAGACAAGCTCTGCCTGATAAATTACGACGTTTAAATGAAGCTGGCAAAGCTCGGCATTCAAGATTGGCTACAGAAGTCTCACTGCGAACAGCGCTCATTTTCCGCCGGCGTGAGAGATCAGACTCCATTCACCATATGGATGGCATGCGTCGTGAAGTGCGTAACCGTTGATTGGGGATCAGCCCGACGCCGCCATGGGGTCAAATTCTATTCGGCACCCGGATTGACTGGGCACAGCGATGACCTCATCTCCAGTTCACTGATCAACCGGACCGTTTCAGTCCTGCGTGCTGACCCACCACGGACCACTCACCGGACGTCTTCTGAGCTGACGTCCCACACCATGACGCCGCCGAACCCTTGGTTGACGGCGTACTGGGTCTTGGTGGCCACCATCGCCACGTCGTCGTAGCCGACCCACTGGTCTCCGGAGTAGGCATACGGTCCCATCTTTCCGGTGGCATCCTATCGACAGGCAAGTGTCAGGATATACGTCAGCCTTGGGCAGCCCGAGCTCTTTTTCAGGAGGGAGTGGTTTCTGGGCAGAGAGTTCCGTCTGTGATACTTTGTATCATCCTGCCAACTCATATCGCATTTGTTATCCTCCCATCCTACGAAAGAGATATGATCCTACAGGGACAGATAGCTATCTTTTTGCCGGTGGCAGGATGACGTTCAAGACGCCACTTCTTATCAGGCTGTGACTCTGATCGATCGCGGAAGTATGAGAGAAAATATCATGAATACATTGCATGCCGCTTTCTACCAGCTGGGCTCCTCAATCACAGCAGCGGTCACCATCCAAACTGCACCGGCTCTGCCCGGCTGACCCACCTGCACCACCATTCAGCCAGAGTTCACCTTCTCACCAGCACCACCGTCCAGCCAAAATTCGCCTTTTCACCTGCGCCACCGTCCAGCCAAACCTCACCTACTCACCTGCACCTCCGTTCCGCCAGAGTTCATCTAGTCATCTGCACTGCAGCCCTGCCAGAGTTCACCTTCTCACCTGCACCACCGTCCAGCCAGAGTTCACCTTCTCACCTGCACCACCGTCCAGCCACAGCTCACCTACTGACGTGCACCACCGCCCAACCAGAGTTCACCTTCTCACCTGCACCACCGTCCAGCCAGAGTTCACCTTCTCACCTGCACCACCGTCCAGCCAGAGTTCACCTTCTCACCTGCACCACCGTCCAGCCAGAGTTCACCTTCTCACCTGCACCACCGTCAAGCCACAGCTCACCTACTGACGTGCACCACCGCCCAACCAGAGTTCACCTTCTCACCTGCACCACCGTCCAGCCAGAGTTCACCTTCTCACCTGCACCACCGTCCAGCCAGAGTTCACCTTCTCACCTGCACCACCGTCCAGCCAGAGTTCACCTTCTCACCTGCACCACCGTCCAGCACAGCTCACCTACTGACGTGCACCACCGCCCAACCAGAGTTCACCTCTCACCTGCACCACCGTCCAGCCAGAGTTCACCTTCTCACCTGCACCACCGTCCAGCCACAGCTCACCTACTGACGTGCACCACCGCCCAACCAGAGTTCACCTTCTCACCTGCACCACCGCCCAACCAGAGTTCACCTTCTCACCTGCACCACCGTCCAGCCAGAGTTCACCTTCTCACCTGCACCACCGTCCAGCCAGAGTTCACCTTCTCACCTGCACCACCGCCCAACCAGAGTTCGCCTTCTCACCTGCACCACCGTCCAGCCAGAGTTCACCTTCTCGCAGATCTCCAGGTAGGAGAGCGACCCGGCCTCGCCGGTGTAGACGCCGCTGACGCCGGCACCGCTGGCGGCCACCGGTGGCGTCTTGCTGGCGCCGGGCACCCGCCAGCTGCGACCGTACAGCGGCACGCCCATGGCCAGCTTAGCGGCCGGCGCGCCGCGGCTCAGCCAGGCGGCCATGCCTGACTGCGTGTCGAGGCCGCTGCCGGCGTCACTGGGTCGCGGAGCCAGGGCCGAGTGGTGGTCGGCCACGGCCGCCTCCCAGCTGCCGTGGAAGTCGTACGTCATCACGTTGATGAAGTCCAGCCCGGCGGCCAGCGTCGGCACGTCGTAGCCGGCAGCGACGCGCCCGTCGCTGGCCGACACGGCGGCGGTGAGCAGCAGGCCGAGCGGCTGGAGCGCCGCGCGCAGCTCCGTCACCCAGGCGGCGAAGTTGACTCGGTCGGCTGCCGACGGGTACTCGTAGTCCAGGTCCAGGCCGTCGAAGCCGTACTGCTGCAGAAACTCCACCGCCTTGCTGATGAAGTTGGCGCGCAGTGCTGGGCTGGCCAGCATGGTGGAGTACTTGGAGCCGAGCGAGTCGTTCCAGCCGCCGAGCGCGATGAGTACCTTCAGCGCCGCGTTCTGCTGCTTCATCGCTACGAATTTCGCGTAGCCCTGGGATGCGCAACATAAGCACAGGTCAAACGAGGTCATGCGTCATGGCGAGGTCACAGACTTCACCATCTCTCCTACCTGAAAACATCCAGCCATGGCGAGGCCACAGACTTCACCATCTCTTCTACCTGAGAATATCCAGCCATGGCGAGGTTACAGACTTCACCATCTCTCCTACCTGAAAACATCCAGCCATGGCGAGGCCACAGACTTCACCATCTCTTCTACCTGAGAATACCCAGCCATGGCGAGGTTACAGACTTCACCATCTGTCCCTACCTGAGAACATCCAGCCATGGAGAGGTCACAGACTTCTCCATCTCTCCTACCTGAGAATACCCAGCCATGGCGAGGTCACAGACTTTTCCATCTCTCCTACCTGAGAACATCCAGCCATGGCGAGGTCACAGACTTCTCTATCTCTCCTTCCTGAGAATACCCAGCCATGGCGAGGTAACAGACTTCACCTTCTCTCCTACCTGAGAACATCCAGCCATGGCGAGGTCACAGACTTCTCCATCTCTCCTACCTGAGAATACCCAGCCGTGGCGAGGTCACAGACTTCACCTTCTCTCCTACCTGAGAACACCCAGCCATGAGATACCGTCAAGCATCGGGTCGATTGGTTTCACGCAGTCCTTGGTTATCTTTCCAGCAGTTATCATCTATCAATGCTACGCTGGTTCCCTGTCCCATGCTCCAGGTACGTGGAAGAGAAGACATCTATTGGGAATTCTGCCCGAGATCTTCCTTGTCGTTCTTTATGGACAATGGTCGGACCTGTTTTTGCAAGCCACCTAGCCATTTCCATAATTGATAACAGTGTGACGCTGGACAATAATTACCGGTATACTGCAGTGCAGTACAGTTCGTTCAAGATGCACGCACCATGGTAGAGCAGTCTTGTGTGCCAGAGCTCACCTGCAGGCTAATGTCAAGCCAAGTATCGTAAGGCTCCATCACGTAGCTGCTTGGATTCAGTTTGGCGAATGAATAGATGTAAATGCTGCACTTGGTGGGATCCAGATCGTCGACGGTTACCTTGCCGTTTCCTGGAGAAATTGTAAAAACAAAACGAAGGTCGTGGTATGCCTTGAAAAAGCACTGCACTATGAAATCACAACCAGAGATACTATTAAAAACGTCATCAGATTTTGCTGCAATGTATATTTCGTTCTTCCGGATTAGTTCAACACCTCGGCAAAGTGGCACTGCACATGTTTTTTACTGAAGTGGTATAATAAATATGCATGCCTAGACAAAACGACTGTTAATTTAAATAGCCTTTCAGTTCGAATAAAAGTAGGATGAAATGGTAATGCATATTGCATCGCTTGCACACTGGCCTCAGCCAACAATTAAGAGGGGCATTGGAGCCCAAACGTTATTCTCAGCGCATGTGTTCGGTTTTTTGTAATGTAAATTTATATTTCAGGCTGTTGCAAATGTGCCTTAGCGCATGGTTTATATTTTCCTTGTGCAGTCCCAGAGACGGCCCCGGGCGAGTGGGCCACCCGCCTCACCATCCCACAGACGGCCCCGGGTGAGAGGGCCACCCGCCTCACCATCCCACAGACGGCCCCGGGTGAGAGGGCCACCCGCCTCACCATCCCACAGACGGCCCCGAGTGAGTGGGCCACCCGCCTCACCATCCTACAGATGGCCCCGGGTGAGTGAGCCACCCATCTCACCATCCAGAGACGGCCCGAGTGAGTGGGCCACCCGCCTCACCATTTCGGTACGTGCTCCAGGCACCCCAGTAGCAGATGACCTCGGTGGCGGCGGCCCAGCCGGCCAGCCCCAGCAGCAGCAGCGTTCCTGTCACCCTCATGCTTCGGCGACCTCAGCGACAACCGTGGGGGCCGACCGCACCGTACGCGCTTATATCTCTGCATTGAGTGGCGCCACAGCTGCGTATGCGGCGCATTACACAGTCTCCTCTGATGGTGACGCGCAAGAGCACACGCACGGTTTGTCAGCCGGTGACGCGGACGGTGACGGGCGGCCGAGACAGGTGGCCGTGGCGCGTCAGAAATGTCTCCGCCGGGCGGGCAGAGTACAATCTCAGTGACAGCTGCAGCGCCAAGTGCGTTTTTTGAAACTGGGAGGGTGTCTGCCACGTTCGGCAGCGCTCGGCAAAACACGGGCAGACGGAAGCTTCTTGGAATACAGCCAAAGCTGGGGAGTATTATAATAGTTCTAAGAACCCAACTCACTGGCGCGCTTTGCGAGGAGAATGCGGGATAAGGGCAAGGACTCGACGTGGGTGGGCGTCGCGTTCGCTGCTTCAGCTTAGATGAGCGCTTTGAAGAAAACGCGGAAACGGGGGACAAGTAGGCATCCTATCGGCTGTGTTCGATTCTTCCAATCGTGCGCAAGCTGCGATAGCAGTATAAGGGGACGTCAGGAACAAGGGTAGTGGAGAAAAACCCGCCGGACCAACATGTTGTGTCAACTCGGGAAGCAGCCAGCGAGCTGTGCCGTGGTGCTCTACGCGCCACAGTGGCGCTCAGTGGCACTCTATGCCCCACAGCGGCGCTCAGTGGCACTCTATGCGCCACAGTGGCGCTCAGTGGCACTCTATGCCCCACAGTGGCGCTCAGTGGCACTCTACGCCCCACAGTGGCGCTCAGTGGCACTCTACGCGCCACAGTGGCGCTCAGTGGCACTCTATGCCCCACAGGTGGCGCTCAGTGGACACTCTATGCGCCACAGTGGCGCTCAGTGGCACTCTATGCCCCACAGTGGCGCTCAGTGGCAGCTCTATGCGCCACAGTGGCGCTCGGTGGCACTCTACTGCGCCACTCGCCATAGGAACATCATCCCATTTTTTTTTAATTTCGCATTTATAAGGTACCTCGACCAACGAGTACTAGGCAATGGCATATTTTACAACAGATAGCAATAACACTTTACATAGTTATATTCACAATGCCGTCGCAACACTTATTGTTGTGTGACCGACGGTTGTTCCGTCATCTCCATGCTTGTGAATGGTTGTGTACCAAAATAGACACTGCTGCGGCAATTTTTAGGACTGGTTTCTCTGACCTCGTTCCATTTTGAAAGCATGCACTGCGTCTTAGTGAATGTTTTTTCAACTCGCCATAAGCCTCTTGCAGTAAATTATCCGATGCATGACAATGCATAAAAATTAAGAGGAATCGGCCCTCATCCCACTCCGCCAATGGCAATTGATAATCAAGTTTGGCAGAAAAAAACTACTGGAGCGTGTGAACCGGATGCTATTTTGGTGTTCGCCACGCATTTTCATAGTATATGATTATTTGACCTGTCTCTTCTAGTCTCATTTCGTGTATCATGTTTATTGACAGCACTGTATAGTTCTGTATTAGCGTACATAATGCCTCACAGTTTTGGTACTCTTATTTGCTTGAGCTTAATGTCATGTGGGAACGCAATTAACCGATTGCCAATCCCGTGAAGCGTACCAGCTAGAGCATCGAAGCTACGGAGAAGTGAGCTCTGTAGCAAGCAGTGGTGTGCGAAACTGATTCCTACTTCGGAACGATATCGTTAACGGTGAATTGAACTCGGATCATGTCACCAGGCTGACCGTCATACGATAGTGTCACCAGAATTATTTGGTCGAAGAAGACGAATGAAAAAGCTATGCTGCAGCAATTTTAACGCGACCCGATTGTCGCGTACAATCACTTCGCCTCCAATCTCACAATCCCATCCATATCGCATTGCTCTATGAAATCTGCCGTTAATTTTGCATGCCTCTCACAAAAGACCCTCAATTATTCAGTTTGACACCGGTAGGCACAGATGATGAATAGCGTAACCTAGCAACAATGTTATAAGTTATGGGAAGCTAAAATAACATTCCATAATCGTGTCTTGTCTCCTTTTTTGGCATCAGTTATGCCACGCCGCGAGACAATAGAAAATTAACAAAAGCGTCATTAATGTATGTGACTGAAATGAAATGCTCTCGCAGCCATTTCACTTATCCGCAAGGAATTCCGCATGTAAATCCCGTAATGCCGGTTTCCTACTTTTGTTCTCATTCCACTCAACGCTTGCTTGCATTCTTCTACACTCGTTGGACACACACGTCGCTCAGGCTCTTGTTCAGTGAGTCTTAGGATTTGATCGCTCACAAGAGAGCTTCCATTATCCTTATATGAGTACCCGGTGACGTAAGCATTCTCTAGTAGTGTTCAGCCTACCTTGCTGAGAAAACGTTTTATCACTTTTTCACCCTGCTTCACTTCGCGTGGCCCCTAGAGGTTATTGTTGGCTTTTTGCACCTTTTTCTCAGTTTGTTCAGTTTCTGTATGTATGTTTCCATTTTTTGTCACACATTTGTCGTTCCTCGCCGACATTACCATGTTTTTTCCTACCTCTGTAAGCTGATCTACCTGCTGTTCTTCTCGTCTCTTTAGGTCACGTGACGCTGTTTCCATTTCGCCGAATACGCATCATCCGTATGTTGCTATTAAAGGCGGCCCAGTTCTACAAACGTATGCGTGCGAGTGTCATTAGTGCACAAAACATTTTTCCCTCCATTATGGCATTTGCGACGGCAGTAAGGAATCAGGTATGGCAGATCGAATGGGAAAATTTTCAGGGCCATCACACGCTGGAAACTGAAAGGAATTGTCCGAAAACTGTGTTACGAAACGAAGCTATCTGTAAGCAAAAGCTTAGAATCTTTTTTGATTGGTAAGGGTCTTGCGACGAGCGTAACAATCGCTTCTGAGCTTTGACTTTATCAACATTGACGATTTTTACCTGACCCAAGGTCACTTTTTGAAGTTGCAACAAAGAATAATCATTGCCACATCAAACAGTGAAGGCTTTCAGACGACCACGAATGTAGGTTTTGAGAACTAAATTATCTGTAACTTAAGGCAAGTAAAAATTAAGAAAGTCAAAATAAACAAAAACGCTGTCGACGACATATGACGACACATGACCCAACCTAGGTTCATCAGTTTGCATTTGCATAGGAGAATCAGGTATAGTAAATCAAATCGGTGAAGGTTCCACGACAATTGGAGCGAAAGGATACAAGACTAAAGTTGCCTGCAGGCAAAACTGCAGAAAGTGTAAAAATTGTCAATCTTTGACCTGACTCAAAGCTACAATATTTGCAACACCAGGTAATCACCTTGGATGGTGTCATGGTCTCGCGACGATCGGGAGCGACGTTCCATGATAACTGAGTTGTCTACAAACAAAGGTTTTCTACTTTGCCAAAACTGACGCCTTTTGACCTCAGTGGGATTACCAATTTTGAAAATGTAAGGGGAAATCAACGATAGCGCACCAAACGGTAAAAAAAATTTCGTAGATCGGAGCGACCTGTTCTCAAATCTGAATTTTCTTTTACAGCATATGGTCTTATCTTTGCGCATTGTTTTACCTTGGGCTAAGTCGCCATTTTACCACCCCACACTCACTTCATCGTGGAGAGTCGATTGGTAAAGGCGATTTGATGGACGGTTTTGAGAATGAGCATGTCCGCAAAATGCATCGCTTTCGAAGTTCTGCCCCCCCCCCCCCCCCTCCAATGCGTTGACCGCGGGTAACGGTTGGAAGGATGACGCGGAGAACGCCCCATGTAGCGCACGGCAGCTGACAATCTCGGTCGGCATGACGCAGCAGCCACAAAAGATAGCGCACCTGTCATGCGCAGCTGTCTTCTGCACGCAATCACCACCGTGTGTATGCACCATAGACGCCTCAGGCTGGGTTTCGAAGGAAGGGGAGGGGGCAGGAGGCGCTTTCCGAAATCCTCAAATTGAGCATGACACACATGGCGTCGCATGGCAAAAATGGACCTCGGGTACCCCAAAATGCCTAAAAGACACCTTCAATTCCCCCTCCCCCCCCCTTGTTCTAGCCATCAGCCGATGGCGACATCACGGCCCTAGTTCGCCACCTGTTATCGAATCGGTATTAGCACAAATGGCTGATATCTGCCTATCGTATTGTTTGGTCTACCCCTCCGCTTGTTCAACAAGCACTCGCAAATGAGGTGGTGAAAAGTATAAGTAGTCTTATGGAAGGAGCGAGGCGTGGTATTAACGTCACGCATGACATAAGCGCTCAGACTATCTGGCTCCTTAGGAAGAATGGCCAAGTTCTTGCAAAGTTTCCTCGCAGAGAAGTGATGTGGAGGAGTACTGGCGTTAGTAGACCTGTTATAAAAGTTTCGTCGTCGGAATGAAGCACGTTAAAAGTTTCTGGCATATCTTTTCCGCGTTTGTTAATTTTCACCGGTGCTGGTCCTGTCCCTCGTGATAACGTTATCTCGTTCTCCGAAGTCTTACATTGCTTGGAATGCAGTAAGCCCTCGCTGCCCGCTGCCACAACCAGGTGAACCAAATGCCCTGAATTACAGACGCTGCTGATTTCTGATGGCTTCTTTTTCTCGACAGTTTTAAACTGTCAACTAAGCTCAAACTCAGCTTTAAACTGTAAACCGTAAACCCATCGAAAGTGGCGCTTGTCAGGGAAGTTAATTTGATGTAAGATCTTTCCAGCTATATTCTAGAGGCCTTCGATTTCTTGCAAGTTTAGAGTGAGCATTGTATAGAGCTAATTTAATTAATTGAAGTGCTCTGATTTTGTCAAGGATGTCGATTTGTTTGATTTTGCAAAAGCTTTTCAGTCCATCCCGATAGCTTAGCTGGTTGGAGCGCCTACCTTCCGAGTCACCGACCCGTGGCGGAGTAGATTCGAGTCAGTTTGGGTGCTCGCCATTTGCCCTTGACTGGGATGACCTGCGACCCTTTATCCCAGCTCAGCGGCTGTTCCAAAGATCAGGTGACATCAGCGGACGATGCGGACTGTGCTAACCATTGCGGAACGC